CTGGGAGTGGGGCTTGTGTTGAGCGTTTCGGGGGGCCAACATCCACCCTTTCCCCCCGGCCAGGGTCCCCTGGATCACCAGGTCGAGGGTGGGGGTCCTGGCTGGGGGTGGGGGTGGGCACCACGGAGGCCGCGGACGCCGCCTCGGCTCAAGGGCTGGCCTGGCAGGCGCCGCCGCGCCTCTCCCCGAGGCGCACGCCCCGGAGGCCGCGCGCCGCCGCCAGGGCCTCGCGCCCGCGGCGCGGGGGGTGCCGCCGCGTCTGCTGCGGAGCTGCCGCGCGATGATTCGGAGCAGGATTCGCAGCGCCACGACCCAGAGCCCCCCCAGCGGGACGGCGGTCGCCCTGCAGGATCGGGTCGGACGGAAGTCGGAGAAGAGCGAAACAGCATGAACAGAAACGTTTGGAGTTCCTGGATCTGTGCTGGAACTCCCTGGCGGCGCCGTCGACGCCGCGGCCCCTTCGTCGCCGCCCCTGGCGCACTCCGCGCGCCAGGGACGGGGGTCCAGCGCGGATCCAAGGAGTTCGCGCGGATGCCCACCAGTCTATGTTGATGCAATTTTTGTCGTCCTCTAGGAAGTGGAGGGTGGATGGGGTGCTCGTTCAGGGGGCATCGCTGGGCCCACCTGACGGGTCTGCTCGACTCAGGTGTTCGACCCATGAGTGGAGCGAGTGGCCCCAGGAAGGTGATTGTTTTGTTACTCTGGCGCGTAACGGTCGTTACTCAGTCCCCCTCCCCCGGGTAAAGGAAACGATCGTACGTGTTTTGGGGGGGCGGGGGGCTTGGTGCCCGCGCGCAGACTACGGCGATCGCAGCACATCTTCACCCCGAAGGGACCCCTCCCGCCCAAGCGTTTTCGTTACCCGGGGCTCTCAACCCCCTTCCCCCGTTCTCCGCAGGTAGCGACCGTTACATGGAAAGAATACAGAACGAAATCTCCCCAGAGCGCATATGTAAGGGGGGGAGGCATTTCCGAGGCTGGTAGAGCCCCACACCCTGCCAAGTCGATTCGCGAATTGCCCCTTTCTCGGTTCTCAAGAGGACGTTGTGGCAACATGTTTTGTGGGCCTGCGCCCGGCAGGTCTGGTCCTGGTGTTGAGGGGGGTTGTGTTCAGCCGCCCATGGATTGCGAAATGGACTGCTGCATGCAGCCAGTTTCGGCCACGCCGCCAGCCGGTTCCTCGATACGTTGGCGCAGAATCCGCGCGGACCTCAGAAAGTTAACATGTTTCATGTAGTTTCTCTGTCTAGTAGCGCCACGACCCCGAGAGCGACGATGGCTGCCCAACAGGAGGATGGTGGCGACCCCAAGCACCAGATTCTCTTCAGTTGCATGCAGATCGAGGCGAGGCAGCAGGGGGAGAAGCCCGACGAGCAGCCGCAGCCAGGGTTCCACGAGCTCCTCGAGAGGCTCGCAAGTGCCCACGACGCGGAGATTCGCAGCACGGCGGACCGGCTGGAGTCACTGCAGCGGCAGAACAACGTGTTCCGGAGCCAGTTGATCGAGATGCGTCAGAAGCTGCAGCAGAGCCAGCCGCCGACGAGGCAGGGCAGGTCAAAGACCCACGGCGCACGCACCTCCCCGATGCAGTTGGAAGAGCCTGACAAGGCACCGGCTCTGCCCGGCATACTCGATCTCACAGCAGATGGTATGACAACCGCCAATGCCGCCGAGAATTCCGAGAGGGATGGGGAAGATGCCGAGGAAACGAAGGTCGAGGTTGGGCAGGAGCAGTTCCCTCCGCGGTCTGAGTACATGATGGGGCATCAGGACACACTGGAAAGAAGGAACAGCTGGTCAAGCAAAATTGTGGATCTCCACAGCAGTGTAAAACGCCAGGGTTCGAAGGAGTCAAATTCGCTGTCGGATTCTTCCCTCGACATACGGACCAGCCGACGCGCGTACAGTGGTTTGATGGCATCCTTTGTCGCGTCGCCCCGCAGTACCGCTCGGACTGCATGGGAAATTCTGGGTTGTGTCCTTATCGGATGGGATCTGTTAATCGTTCCTTTAGCAGTCTTCTGCTACCCAGTGAACAGCCTGACAATGTCGATGGAGTGGCTAACTCTGGTCTACTGGACGTTGAACATACCGCAGACTCTCACTGTAGGTTACGAAGTGGGGCTCGGAATTGTGATGTCTCCGTCGCTCATTCTCAGAAGGTACATGAGGAGCTGGTTCCTGATCGACATGGCCACGTTAGTTCCAGACTGGATCATTGAGGTGATCGACTTCGGAAACAGCAACACGCCCATGACGTCGTGCGACACTTCGGTAGAGGGCGCAACGGCCGTGAAGCTGCTCAAGAATTTGCGCATCATGCGCCTAATGCGGCTCACCAGGATTGCGCGGCTGAAGAAGATCTGGCAGATGGTGAAGGACAGGATCTATTCCCTCACAGTAAACATCGCGGTGAACATCCTTACCATGCTCCTCCTCTTGCTGGTCCTCAGTCACTTTATTAGCTGCCTCTGGTACACGATCAGCGACGTCTCGGAAGGTGACAATCGTTGGCTCGCTTACTACAACTTTGAGGGGATGGACTGGAGCTATGTGTACGCCACTTGCTTGCATTGGTCGTTGACGCAATCAAGCTGCCTCCCGAAATTCCGCCACCGTGCCAGCGCAGCACTCTGGGCGGCATCTACTCGAGAAGGCAAGAAGGCTTGCTGGGGGCAGCTTGGGGCATAATGCTCGAACTCGTAGTTTGGATGCCCTCCCTTGCGCCAATTGGTTTGGCCGTCTTCGGGCAGCCTTGGGCCCCTCCTGGGCCGTCTCGGAGCTCGCTTGGGCCGCCTTGGTGCTCTTGTGGGAGCCGCTTGAGACGTTTCGGAGGAGTCCGGTGGACCTCGTGGGCCGTCTTGGAGCGTGGGCAGCTCGGCAAGGCGATAACCCACAACACATTTAACACATCTAAGGGACATCAGGGGTTCTTGCCTCTCAGGGCCCTCTTGGACCCTCTTGGGGCCTCCTGAGCCCTCGAAGGGCAATCGGCTCGAATTGCTGATTATTGTTCACCCTCCTGGGCCCTTCTTGGGGCCGTCTTTGGCCGTCTGTGGCTTTCTTGGGCGCCTCTGAGGCCGTTTTAGAGCCCTCTTGGGCCATTTTGAGGCCTTCTTGGGGGCCACGTGGGCCGTCTTGGGGCAGTCCTAGTGGCTTCTGGGGTCGTTTTGAAACGTCGGAATCTCGAACAGGCGAGAGCCCGGAAATCATCGAAACACAAACGGATTATCCATGATGTTTGTTTCTCGGGGCTCTCCTGGGGAGCCTCTTGGGACTCTCTTGGGACGCCTCGACGGCCTCGTGTGCCGTCGTATCGGGGGCGCGAATCTGTGAAATTGTGCGAGGTGTTGTGGCATCGGGAAGAGGTGGTGGTCAGCGCGGCTGGGTGCGACGAGCGGGGGGGCCTTTAGAAGATTATAGAAACCCTGCCACGCAGCACCTGGCATTCTAGCACGCCTCAACGTGCCAGGCGGCACGATGGCGGATTCACTCCCGCGTCCATGGACATACAGCCGCAGAACTTTCCAGAACGCGTCTACACGATCTCTGTAGTGGTCTGCGCCTTGGTGGGTTTCTCCTACGTAGTTGGCAGTATTACTGCAAGCCTCGCGCAGCTCCGTAGTGTTACAGAGGAGGAATCGAAGCTATTCTGGGATTTGCGGGTCTATTTGAAGCGCAACGCTGTGGAGCACACTCTTGCGATCCGAATCCAGCGCTACCTCGTAGATGCATGGCGTTACCAGGCTGGCAACAAGACTTTCTCGCAGATCAAGATTCTGACGATGTTGTCAGAGCAGCTCCATAACGAGTTACTGTTTAATCTGCACGCGGATCATCTGAACGTCTACCCGCTTATCGAAGCCTTGCTGGATGTGTCGCCGGTGACTGCTTTCAGGTTGGCGAGAACTGCCATTTTGTCCAAGCAGTTCGCATATCTCGACCCCATGTTCATATATGGGGAAAAACCAAGCCATATGTCCATAGTCAAGCAGGGCCGATTCGAATACAAACGTATGACTTCTAAGGGGGAGGTGCTTCGTGAGATGGTTGATAAGGGCGAGGATTGGATTGCGGAGCCTGTGCTGTGGTCGACGCAGTGGTACCACTTGGGCGATTGCGTCGCGGTGGACACGAGCAGCCTGATCCTGGTGGACCCCCATAAATTCTGTGAGGAAGCCAAGCGCAACCCAGCAGCATGGAGCCTCGTGACGACGTACTGCAGAAACTTTCTAGCATGGCTGAACTCGACGGACTCTGACGAGCTCTCTGACATCACCCAGGGCGATCATTTGGACAAGAAGGCGCAGCTGAAAAAGTTCATGGTCGTTATTCCCAGAGTCCTCGCCGACTGTACCGCTGATACGTGAGACCTCTCCATGCCGCATGTAGGGCCCGTGGCCTTGATGTGATCGGCGGCACCGCATCCCGAACAACAGGGTCGCCGACGGGTGGGACTGTCTCGGGGGGTCGAGCATTGGCCCCCAATCGCCCATTCCTCGCCGATCGGGGCCTGGGCGCCCCAACCTGTCAGTAAGCGCTGGGTTTCCCCAGCAGGAGCCCATCGCCGATCAATCGGCGGTGTACCGTTGATTCCGGGTCGTTTCTCCCCCACCCCCTTGAGCCATTCCCCCCGTGCTCGGCCAACTTCAGAACGGTGCCGCCGACAAGACCTCGGGGCCCTCGCGGTGGGCTATTCTCGGCACGCCCGATCTCCATGGAGAGCGAGTTCCGATGAGAGGAGCAATGTGTCATGATAGTGGTACGTTGCAGGATTCCCCCGGTTCCCACTGTTTCCCAGCCCTCATGCGTTGGGTACTCGTTTTGGATAGAGCACTGCGCGCGCGTCTCCCGCCTCCCGCCCCCTCTCCTCTTGTTATCTTTCCTATTTGCCACTGACCTCGCTCGGTCCTGCCAGCCAGCTTGCCTCCTACCTTGTCTCCCCAGGGGGGTTGCGATCTGCGAGACTATCGCCACGTTCGAGGGCTGCTGGGGGTGCAGCGGAGTTACGTCTTACGCGGACCCTCAGGAGATTTCGCCATCCCAGGAGGGGGGATCTGCGAAACGGCAGCCACTTTCGAGGGCTGCTGGGGAGTGCAGCGGGGTGACATCTTACGCGGGCCACCAGGAGACCTCGCTCCCCCCCAGGGGGGCTGCGACTTGCGAAGCTGTCGCCACATTCGAGGGCTGCTGGGAGGTGCAGCGGGGTGACGTCTTACGCGGATCACCAGGAGACCTCGCCATCTCCTTTGGGGGTTGCGATCTGCGAGATTGTCGCCACTTTCGAGGGCTGCTGGGGGGTGCAGCGGGGTGACGTCTTACGCGGGCCGCCAGGAGGCCTTGCCACCCCCCAGGGGGGCTGCGATTCGCGAATTTGTCGCCACTCACTTTCGATGGTTGCTGGGGGGGGGGGGGGGTGCAGCGGAGTGACGTCATCCGCGGATCGCCATGAGACCTCGCCCCCCCCCCCCCCCCCCCCCCCCCCCAAGGGGGCTGCGACTCACGAAATTGTCGCCACTTTCGAGGGCTGCTGGGGGGTTCAGCGGAGTGACGTCTTACGCGGACCACCAGGAGACCTCGCCATTCTCAGGGGGGGCTGCGATCGGCGAAATTGCCGCCACGTTCGAGGGCTGCTGGGGGGTGCAGCGGAGTAACGTCCTACGCTGACCATCAGGAGACTTCGCCATCCTAGGGGGGGTGCCATATGCGAGAGGGTCGCCACTTTCGAGGGCTGATGGGGGGTGCAGCGGAGTGACGGCTTAAGCGGACCTTCATGAGACCTCGCCACCCCCCAGGGGGGCTGCGATCTGTGAGATTTTCGCCACTTTCGAGGGCTGCTGGGGGGGGTGCAGCGGAGTGACGTCTTACGCGGATCACCAGGAGACCTCGCCACCCCCCAGGGGGGCTGCGATCTGCGAAATTGTCGCCACTTTCGAGGGCTGCTGGGGGGGGTGCAGCGGAGTGACGTCTTACGCGGACCACCAGGAGACCTCGCTACCCCCAAGGGGGGCTGCGATCTGCGAGATTGTCGCCGCTTTCGAGGGCTGGGGGGGTGCAGCGGAGTGACGTCCTACACGGACCATCAGGAGACATCGCCATCCCAGGGGGGCTGCGATCTGCGAAACGGTCGCCGCTTTCGAGGGTTGTTGGGGGGTGCAGCGGAGTGACGTCCTACGCGGGTCACCAGGAGACCTCGCCATCCCAGGGGTCCAGCGGAGTCGCGTTTTTTTTTGTTACCTGGGGGTTGTTTCGAGTTCCCCGGTGGTCAGGAAGGAAACAGACAAATTGGCGGGCGAGGTGGGCCTTGCTCGCTTCTTGCACTAACTATCAGCAGGGTTAATCATTTTAGCGAGCGCCGCGGCGACATGGCGCAGGCATCGCTGCATCTTTAGCGTACTACCGACAAAACACAACACTCTTCGGCATCCTCCCGTCACTTTCGTCGTCGTCCTCTGCCCCCTGCCACCTTCCCTCTGCTGCTGCCGCGCTGGCGGTTCGGCCCCCCACGCGTCTTTTTCCTGTCCTGCGTTCCCTCCCCCATGTCCTCCTCAAACCTGGGCCCTCGTTCCTCGTCCTTTTGTTGTTGTCCTGTGGATCGTGCCCCTTGAGTGCGTCCCATGTAGCTAGCACAGCATATAACGGTGCCTGCGCTGTCATTGTCCTGGCAAGTTTGGGCCCAGTCCTCTTTCCACTTGATGCACATGGGTTGGGTCCGTCACAGGGTAATGGTTAAATGTCTTTCAGTTCCACGCACGCTGCAGAAACGAGGGCCGGTGGATACCCCGGAATCCTTGCAACGTATCCTAAGCCAATCGCATCATGACATCATTCGGATCCTATTCCAGCGACTCCGCGCATGTTCCGAGTGCAAGAGGCCCAGAAGACGGAACCAGGCGCCCAAGGCACTGGGATCCAGCTGTGAAGGCCTTATTGTGTCGTTTGATGTGCTTTCTCGCTGGCACGGCGCGAAGTTTGCCTCGCTCCGTAGGGCTGCCAAGGTGTACTTGTCCAGCATGCTCGATTCAGTGGACTTCACGCCTCGGTGCATTCCGCCAGCGACCTTTAGAGTGCTCGCGAGGTGGCGCGTGCTGTCAGGACTTGGCCACAACGTGGAATACGCGCATGGTCTTTCTGCTCACGCACCGTCTGGTGGAAGGTTTTGTCTTCCTGTTGCTTCTGCGGGTTCACATTCTCAGCGCCATGCTCCCCCTTGGAGCGCACTTTTGCCAACCGCTTGAGGCGCGCATGCTTCGAATATCGAATGACCTTGGGTTGTGGGGCTGAGGCCTATTGGATGGTCGTCGGGCTGTCGTCGAGGCCTCTCGTGGGCCTCCTGGAGGCAGTTGTGAGGCCCCTGGGGGCTGTTTTGGTGCCTCTGCCACTTCTGGGCCTCTTGGGGACCTCGTGGGGGCCTCTTGGGAGCGTCTTGGGGCCTCTTGGGGCCCTCTCGGGGCCTGCTGGGCGCCTCGTGGGGCGGAAGGCAACCGCGGGAAGGCCCCAGAGATTTGGCAATTTGGGGCTTGGGCAATTTGGGGCTTGGGCCCCAGAGGATGGAAGAATGAAGCAAAAGGGACCGAGGCTTAAGGGATTAGACAAAGGAGCCGATGACACGCCCATTCCATGCCCAGCGGCACGGTGGCGGATCAGCCACAGCATACCTCCAAAGGTTGACAACATTTTTTGAGCATTGCTGCACTGTCCCTTTGAGCCCGCGGCCACCCAGCAGTAGCGGTGATGCTGGGACGCGATCGGGTAATCTTCGTCCAGGAATGCGACTGCGACTCTGAGATGTACATTTCGAGACGCATTTCGGAGTGCGCCCCCTCTCTCCTCGTCCTTCATTGATTCCGCCTCCAGCACGATCGAATTCCACTGGTGCCGCTTCCTATCTTTGTCCACTTCCTCCTCCTCCTCCTCCTCCTCCTCCTCCTCCTCCTCCTCCTCCTCCTCCTCCCCTCTTGTCCCTCGTCCGTAGCCATTTTGGCTCAAGCCATTTTGGCTCAAATAACATTTCGGGAATCCCCCCGTCTCGAGTGCGAGGCGGCCGCGCTCGAGGTCACAGACGCCTGCCCAGGCAGACCTCGAGCTGTATCGTTTTCTTCACTTACACTTACTTCTGATATGGTACGGCATTTTGCCCGAGTGCAATCTGTGCTGAGCACCTCTCTGCCGCGATGGGTCGCAAGGGAGTGAAGAAAGCAGCGAAGGATGACACTCGCCGTGGCCGAGAGGAGCGCAGCCAGAGTCGTCGTGAGCATCGTCATCGTTCCAGTTCACACTCCGAGTCTGAGAGCCGCAGGTCCCATAGCCGGAGGTCTCACAGTCGCAGTCGTGGCGCGCGCAGTGATGACATGTCCGACCGCTCGTCGAGTCAGCATCGTGCAGGAGAGCGTCGAAGTGAGGATCGACGCAGTGAGGATCGTTACAGTGAGAATCGTCATGGTACCAGCGGCTCCGCCTCCAGCGGTACCAATGGAGGCATTTCCTCGGAGGTCATGGCCGAGTTGCGCTCGATGATGGGAGGCATTGAGGCGAACATCACCAGGTCCATCGACTCGTCGACGGCCGCGTTGCAGGTGCAGCTGTCCGCGCATGAGGCATCGATCATCGCCTTGGATTCGCGTGTGGAGACGACCCAGACCACCTTGCAGCAGCACCAGTCCCAGGTCGAGCAGCTCGGCGCCCAGATCCAGGCCGTCTCGCAGTTGGCGTCTCAGGCCTCATCGGGAGCCTCATCGGCAGCATCCTCTGCTTCTACCCCGTCTGGAGGTGGCGGTGGAACTGGTGGTGGCAACCATGGGCGTGGCCAACAAATCGGTACCAATCCCTTGGTACGCTTCATCGGAACCTTCCCGCGGCCTGTTCATAAGACTGTTCGTGAGGCACATTACCAACAGGTGTTGACTGCTCACCCGCATCTCCTTCAAGATGCTGAACCAGTGTCCCACGCTGTGGCCCAGAATTATAAGATTGTCTTTCGCACGCCCGCCTCCGCCAAGCAGTTCAGTGAGAATGTCAACACGTCCGCCCTGCAGTGGATAGATCCGCGCAATGGATCAGCCCACACACTGAGGGTGCGCCATGACTTGCCTATTGACGTACGCGACCGCCAGCGCACGATAAGCCGCATCTACCAGCCGATCGTGGATTTGTTTCGAGGTCATCAGTCGTGGACTGCTGAGTGCAAGCTCGGGGTGAACGGGTTCAAAGGCGAGATGATGATCGTCACGCCTCAGGATGTGTTCATCATTGTGAAGTTGCTGAAGAGGAACGAGTCCACGGAAGAGTTCCATGCCGTTCAAGAGGAGCTGAACCTGTGGGGTATCACCGCCGAGCAGATTCTGCAGATCTTCAACGTCGCGCACCAGGCGGGCCGCGTCGGGAGCTACCTGTAGGATCCTCCCTTGCGGCAGTCTCGTGAGCGCCGTGCCGTCTCTTTTGAGCCCCCTCCGCTGCGGGAGAGCGAGCATCCTCAGCATGATGCGTTTCGCTCGAGCAGAGGGTGGCTGCCCGTATGTAGTCTCTTGCAGAGGGGGAGCCCAGAGCATCGCTCGCGCGATGCCCGTAGCTCGTGCAGGGAGGCCAGCGAGGGCCCCGACGGCGCCTACTCAGGCGCGTTTAACGTCTCGCGTGCTCGCCATCGGCTCTGCAATCCTGTGCCTAGTCCTTGTCCCCCTCCTGTCTCATCTCATCCATTTGTTCCTGATTGTTCTCTTGGCATCTGCAGTTGGAATATTCGGACTGTCCTCGGCTCTGTCCATTCGAACCAATCCAGCTTCCGATCTAAGTTGACTCATCTCCGTTCCTTGCTCTGCAAGTTCCAGGTTCTCGGTGTCCAGGAGTCTCACGGTGGCGAGGGTGATATCGTGCATTTCCAGAGAGAGGCTCGGACACACCACGTTTTTGGCAGCTTCTGTGAGTCTCCGTCAGCAGGTGGCAATCTCCTTCTTGTCTCTCGTGGGTTTCTCCGCAGCTGGTCTCAGTATGAGTATGTGGCAGTGGTGCCTGGGCGCATCTCTCTGCTTCGCTTGCCCTCCGAGAAGGGCAATTTGCAGTTCCTCGACCTCCACCTCGACCCTGAGTGGGGCATCAATGAGCTCAAAGATGTGTTTGCTAAGGTTAAGAAAGCGCTCGGGAAGCCAGATATTGTCACGAGCTTCGTTTTCGGGAACTAACTTCTCGGAGGTCGGGGGGTCCAGGGTGAATGCTTCCGCGGGCCTTGATGGGCCCAGCACCAGCCGTTTGGCTTCGCTGTTCACGTCCGCGTTTCCGTATTCGGCTGAAGTTTCCCAGGGAGATGATACTCGCCGCCTTCAGCGTGATGAAATGTGGTCGCGCGGTCGGTTGGGCCGCCTTTGCTGTTCCCTGCCCACTCAGGACATTATCGACCTGTGTCCGAGCACGGGTGTTATCTGACCTGCCTCCGATTTGTCCAAACCGTCGGACCACGTTCCCGTGTTTCTGAAGCTGGAACCGTGGAGACCCCGGGGTCCGACCCCGATCCCTGTTTGGGTGGCTAATCATCGTGTGTTTCAGGACGTTGTCCAGGACCTTGTTGTGCCTGAGGAGTTAGGCCAGAACTTAGACGAGCAGTTGCAGGGCATCAAAGATGTCTTCTATTACGCAGCCGGGCGCGTCAAGGCCCACATCGCCAGTCAAGGAGCTGAGTCGCTTGAGGAACGAGTATCTTGTTGCTTAACATTGGCTCGGGCCGCTCGTGGAGGGCGCTTTCACAGTGCCAAGAAAGCGATCTCTGGTTATTCTGCCTTGGGAAAATTTTTTGATCTGGAACTGAATGCCCGGTCTGACCGCGGGGCTTTCGATGTGCACCTGGGGAGTTTGATGCGAGATGTATGTTCCAGGCGTGAGGCGGCGCTCTGCTCGGTTGCTGAGATGTCTAAGGCGGACATCGCCGAAGCCAAGTGCTCTGCTGCTGTACAGCGTACTCGGGATATGTCTCGTGCATGGCGGTCGAGTGGCCGCAGGAGTTGTTTGCAGCAGGTCACTGACGTTGATGGCCAGCATTATTCTGATGGTCGGAGGTGCGCCGAGATTATTGCTTCGTATTGGGAGTCGGTCTTCCAAGATGTCCAGGTTAGCGGTGAAAGCATTGAGGATTTGTGTTCCGAGATCGCCCCGATCCCCTCCCGCCCGTACCACTACCAAGCCAGGGATTTAGCGTTGTATCCTTGGGTGGTCCCTGAGAGTAAGTTCTGTTTTGGAACAAAAACACGGCCCCTGGGCCTGATGGAGCGCCCTATGCTGCCTGGAAGTCTGCTGGCGATTCGGCCCAGCATATCTTGTGCGAAATCTACTTGAGGATGATGCAGGCTGGGCGCCTCCCTCCAGATTTTAATGTGGCAAGAGGTGTGTTTCTGCCTAAGGACTGTCCAGGCCGTATCGATGCCGCTGCCCGTGCGCCAGCTTGCACGAGGCCTCTGTCATTCTGTCATTATCGAACTCTGACAACAAGATTGTCACGGCTGCGTTGGCTTTGCGGTCTCAGAGGTTGTGGAGGACACGGCTGAGGTTTGCCAGGAGGGTTTCGTCAAGGGCCGCCAGCTTCTGGACGATGTGTTTTCCCTGGGCGCTGCGTTTTTGAAGTGGGCCATGATGGGCGTTTCCCCACGGATTGGCTCGGCGTTTTTTTTTTGATGTGAAAAACGCTTTCCCCAGTGTCATTCACAATTGTATATATATGGGCTGTCCTACGTCGTATCAATCTTCCTCGGAATATCCGTCGCGCGATCAAGGCGTTGCATTCGAATATGCGTATGTGTATTAGTATTCACGGTTGCGAGCCTGTGTATATCGCGGTGATGAGGGGCGCGAAACAAGGCTGCCCCATTTCTGGTTTGATTTTCTGTTTATGTACCAACCCGATTTCGACGAGAATACGTAAACGATGTTCGAGTTTACCCATCGAGATGGGTGCTTTCGCCGACGACATAGGTATTTGCTGCCGAGATGTGCTCCAGAGCCCCCCGACGATCTTGAGAGTGCTCTCAGATGGTGGCGAAGCTTCTGGCCTCATTTTGAATCTTGCCAAGTGCGTGCTGGTGATACCGTCGCCCGCCTTTCGTGAATATGCAGTTGCAGACCTTCGGCGGCTGGGTGTGAACATT